CTACAAATGAATGCTAATTACTGCTAAGTAAAATGACCCTTGTCCCCAACACCCTAAGTCATTTTGTTTGCTTACTCAGAGTCATCCTCAATTCTCTCTCCCTCTCCTCAGTGTTACCAAGTCATATATCATTTATTTCATTTTTTAAAATTCATCCAGATCTTATCATTGCTGGTACCACTGCCTTTGTTCAGATCATTTTTTTGCCCAGATTATGCAATAGTTTTTTTAGGTCTCTCAACTTTAATCCATTCTCTACATTGCTACCAAACTGAATTTTCTGAAACTTAACCTTGATTAAAAGCTTATCATTGTTCCACACACTTATAAGATAGAATTAAACTTCTTAATATAAAATTTAAAAACTCCCCACAATCTGTTCCCTACCTACATCCCATCCTTAAGACTTCATTAATGATCTCTCTGTTGGGAAAACTGCTCCTCCTTTCTTAATGTGGCAACATATAAAATCCTCTTAAGCTGGATGAAATTATCTTTCAAAATCTTTCCTGTAAACCTCTTCACACTGCTGAGGTTAATGCCCTGTCCCCACAGACGTTCCTGCCGATCACTCCCTACTTCTGAAGGGCTCCGCTCTCTCATTCACACCTATATTCCAAGCGCATGGAACATAATACACACCCAAAATAAATATCTATTGAATAATTGAGAAACACATAAGTGACTGACAGCTGTATAAACTAACCATTTAATATCCTCTACAACCGAGGTCTAATCCATTGGTTCTCAAACCTGAATACGCCCCAGAATCAGCTGTCAGATATTTCTAAAAAAAAAAATAGAGATTCTTGTCCCCATCCCAGACGTATTCAGTTTCCAGAAGCAAGGGCCAGAAAAACTACATTTATAAAATCACTGCAAGATTAGATAATTGACCCAACATCACTGCACTACTTATGCTTAAATGTCCCACAAATATTTCATTCATTGTTTTAATAACCCATTCCAAAAATTATCATGGCATTTATTTCAATTTATGCTTTATAATTACTTGAAATTCAAATGTAACTTTCTAGTGTTTTGGTTCCAAGTAAAATCTGGATGAAAATTCCTTCCCCATGGACCTCTGGCTATGGGTAAAGCTGCCTGACAATTGGTCCTATGTACTTTTTCTCTGGTGGTATACTCTGTACACTATACAAAAATATTCTTTAATTTGACTAAATATAAGCCATGGATAAAATAATACACTGAATGATTTTCTGGCAATTTACAAAGAATCATGCTCTGATAAAGTCATCCAAGAGAATTTCCAAGATGCCTCCTCATTTGCAGTCAAGTCAGCATGATGTAATCCAAACAATGATTGGGAGGAAATCAGGAGACTCAGAGAGGAGGGGGTAATTTGGCTTGGTTTTGACACTTTTCTAGTTGTATGATGTTGTACATATAATTTATATGGATCTCTGCTCTCTCTCTCTAAAAATAAAAAAACGTGGTGTTATTATGTTCAAATGAGATAATACATGTAAAAGTAAACATTTTAAAATACTAACCAAAGTTTCAAGTTTGAGAATTACTTTTTTAAAACCATCAGATTGTCTTGGATTTTTCTCCATTCTCTTCCCTTGTTTCTGAACAAATAATTCCTATATTTTTCTGAAAACTAAACTTTCTACTAACTCATGCACTAGTCTTAGAAAGCACTAGTCTTTTGAAAAACTCTGACAAACATTCCTTCCTTTAGCTGAAGAAACTAAGAAAATGACATGTAACTATGACTTCTGCAATGCTCTGGTTTTCTTAAACTTTTTAAGTTATTCACATTTTCCAAATATATAAGTAAAAATTAGTAATAGCCATAAAAATGAAAATATGTAAGAACTCTCATAATATTCATATTTGAATGCCAGCACCCACAATAATGCAGCCACAGCAAATAAGCATATAAAAATAGTGATTGGCAGAGTAACAAGGCAAAAGAAGTGGTCCCTTAGGTGGAAATAATAGCAACCTTGCAAAGTTAGGTTCATGCAAATCAGCCAGTCAGAACCAAAGCTTTATCACTTAAGAGCTGGAAAACAAATACTTAAAAGAAAACAAAATGCAACATTCTTTATACTAACTATACAAAAAACAAAACAAAACTAATTCATGGATAAAGTGTATAAAACTTGCTATTATATTTATAAATAATGATATACCAAAATAAAAAGACTATTAGGAAAACAGTACATAACACACAAATAAAAAATACTTATATATATATATATATATATATATATATATATATATATATATAAAGTTTTATGTATCAAAGACATATTTAAAATTTTAAGAAATCTAGATAATATATTTTGCTTAATATATTAATTTTAACTATGAAGCTTTAAATATTTTAATAAAATAAACTTTAATGTTTAAATATGCAAATATTCTGGATTTGCTACTTTGCAAATACATTTTTGTGAACAGTGCTAGTCTACACTAAAATGTTTGTGACACTTCAATTTCAAAGAAGCTTAACTACAGCTACAAATATAAAAATAAACAAGTATATGAATTTTTAAAAAAGAATGGTACCCTACTTTCTCTTCTGCCTGTAAATTATTCAAATATTAAAACACACCATTATGAAACTACATACATATTTAGGCACTTAAAAATAAATTAGTAATTAGATTCTCTTTATGCATCCTTATATTTTTCCTTAATGATCAACTTTTGGGAAAGAAAATCTAAAACTAATTCATCTACAGAAAAAAATTCTAGGTAATCAGCAGGTGATTATCAGTGGTAATTCTATCACTAAAGATGGCGAGTAATTATCATAAAGTTTAAGATATGGTTAATATATTTTTCTATTATTAACATTTTTATCCTAGTTATCAACTGTTCCTTTATTCTTCTATTTTTGTGAAGAACTATTTTTCATTTCCATACAGCTTTGAGCTGCTAAAATAGTTCAAATAAGGAGCATGTATGAGGGCATAAGGGAACAACCCTGAATAACGAGTTGGTACTGACAATGGAATAAGGTAAAGAGGATACAGATATAGCTGGTTTTACCAGAGCTGAAAAGTTTTTGGAGATATGCTGTGTCAAGTTTTAAGAAACTAAAAACTTAACAATTCAAACATAAAAGTCAACTATACACAATGTTTTGTATTATCTGTGCATAGGGTGTAAAAGTGTAGCTTACAATGGTCCTGCGTTTTATTACTAAATCTTCTTAATGGTATAAAATTTTATTTCCTGTTGTATTAACATTGTGATTGCTTTTTGTTTCAGGCAAGTATACCAAGAGGTGAAAAACCCAGAAACAAAATTTCTCAAGTGTCAAATTAACTTAATTTGCAAGTTTAGAGGCACAAAACCTATCACCATTATAGGGAAAAAAAGAGTTTAATCTGTATCTTTACTTTCATTTTTAAAGTTTTTGTGAATCCCTATTTTCTTTACCATTTCATATGAATGTCACATTGACACCCTTTATCAGAAGACCTAGAATACTAAGTTTAAAATTTAATTTGGTAAAAAACAAACACATGTTTTTGTATATAACCAGCCAAATCAATGAAGTATACAAATTTCTGGGTAACAATTTTCCATAGTGCTTTACGTTTTAGAGTTTATCTTAGAAAAAAACAGAAATATTATTTCTGGAAAATGTTTATGTTTTAATATTAAACCATGGATGTGACACTCTTTAGGTGTAGTTGGGCCCTTGAACAGGATCAATATGCCACCTGTAAGTTTAAGGTCACAGATAAATTACTGAAGCATTCAAAGTTTCAACTTTCTAATTTATAAAATGTGTTCATAGCTGTACCCAGTTCATAGAACTGGTCTGAGGACTTAATAGGATTTTTCATGTACAGTACAGTATGAGAATTTCTGTAATATAAATAATATCATATTCAATTGGTAAATTAGAGAAAATTTATCAATATTTTCACAAAAGTCATTTGGGTTCAATGTATTTTTTCCTGGTCTTTTATTTTTGAACCACCAAGTAATAGCAGCTTAGCACAAAGTACACAAAGTTAGCTAACCACAATAGAACGGAGGAACTAAAAAAGTATTGAATGCTTTCTAAGATGTATATTCAATAAACAAGTTATAAATGAATAGAGTGAATAGCCTATTGCTTGTATCTTCTTCCTCACAGCTTTGAGGAAATTAAGAAACACATCACAGTGACTACTGACAATATGCTACGAAAGAACTAAATGAGTCAAACTACAGCACTGATGTGAGCTGTGAGATATAAGGCATAAATACTGAGTATTTCTAAGATTGTAGAAATAACTGTGGTAGTTTGTTTAAAACTGGCTTGACTACTCTCCTAGTTATAAGCAATACTTTTTGGAAAGTGTTTCAATCTTTTTAAATCACCTTGTACAATAAAGTACACAATGCCCATTTACTCCCACATCACTTTTTGGCTCAGTTTGGCCCCTCTTTCTTAGAAGTTCTTCTGAATGATTCTCTTTGATCTTTGTTTATGTTGCATATGTCTCCTAAATTCAACAGTCTCAGCCCTTCCAATCCATTAAGTCACCTTTAACTTTTTTATTCTATTATTTGTTTTATTTGTTCTAATCTATTTGTTCTATTATTTGTTGGAGTTATTTATTAAAAATTCAAATGGTTTTAATTCTGCTAGTATTTTTATAGGATCACTGTGTTTTATTAATGCTCCAGTAAGAAAGCTGGTTGGGTTGTAAGTGATCTGTCCCAGGACTAATTTCCCCCCAAATCCTGTCATTTTAATACGTAGTATTGTAGAAATGTGAGGTTTTAAGAAATATATATGTATATTAACATTAAATAGCTAGCCTTTGCTTATTTTAAAATCTGGAGAGACCAGTGTTTCAGATAGTATTGATATAATTGGGTATCTTACAGGTACAACTTTTACATTTTAATATAACTATAGTTATTTTATAACAAATAATAGTTTACTACATTTTACTAAATAGTTTATTACAGCGACTCAGCACAAAATTAACATCTATAACATGAGAGGTACTTACTGGCTGAAGCCTGAGGTTGCATGCGAGGTATTCCTCCATTTGGCACTTGAAAATTTGAGTCACTTCTGCTGCTTTTCACTGAGTCAACTTGTGTATTAGATGTTCGGGATAGGTTTGGAAGACTGCGTCTTAGTTTTTCTATGACAACATAATTTAATTAAAAATAAAAACCAGTTTTTAGATGGAAAAAATAAAATATTAATCAACATTTAAAAATCAAACTTAAGTATTTTATGTATTTTAGAAGAGCTAACAGGAAGTACATATCTTATAACAATACACAACTCATCCCAGATTATATAGATGAGTAAATTAAAGAACTTTAAAAAGAACTATAGAATGCTGGCCCAAGACCTAAGGGTTGGAGTTCAATTCCCGGTCATGGGCACGTACCTTGGTTGCAGGTCCCGAGCCCTGGTAGGGGCACATGTAGGAGGCAACCAGTTGATGTGTCCCTCTCGTATCAATGTTTCTCTCTCTCTCCCTTCTACTCTCTCTAGAAATCAAGAAAAAAAATCCTTGGATGAGAATTTAAAAAAATAATAAAGATAAAATTAAAAAATAAAGATAAAATAATAACTATAAGCTATTCATTTAAATAAAAATCTATATACAGATCACTTCATGTGTAGAACAAAGCAAAGCTAACATTATCAAATAAAATTAAACTCACTTTCTCCTTTACTTTTTTGTATTGATTCACTGTGACTAAAATGGTAAACTAACTAAATTCTCAATCTACTTATCTGAAATACAAAACCCTGGTAAAAATTGTCTTTCATACTGAAATATGAAGGAAAATTGTTTCCAGAAACATCTTGATTACCTTCATTTTTCACATTACTTGTCTGTAAATCTGTGGGATGGCCTTGAAGTGAAAGGCGAGGTTGCTGTAAGCGGCTAATCATAGGCTGTGGGGACACTCTACTATATTCTATTCCCCGCGCAGGAGATCGTGAACGTGGAGAATTTCTGGGTGACTGTTTAGGTGATGGTCGAGGTGAATTGCGTGGTGATGGTGAAAACCTGTTAACAGCAGGGTATACTGCATGATGCATACTGTCATCTTCATCATCTAAACTCTGTGCATCAAGTTCCTGATCACTAAAAGTACCCCGTCTTGTAGAATTGCAAGATGAACCAGAACTGCGCCGAGATGTGGTGGCTGCATATTCTTGCCGGAGACCTGACGACAATGAATGTGTAATTTTATTTAATTATATTTTTAAACATTCAAATATTTCTAAGGTTTAAAAGCAAAAGATTAAGAGATTCAAACAGGGTATACAGTGTAAAGGAAAACTCTCCACTTGAATCATCTTTGAAATCCTCCCATATAAGGATGCATAAACCACACCTCAAAGGTTATTTTTAAATTGAACGAAGTTTTATAAAGCTTTGCACAATTTCAACATTTCTTCTTGAATCTGAAATTTATCAAGTAGAACCACAAATTTAAAAATATTTCTACTCCTAAAACAGTAATCCAAATTTGAGATTAACATTATAGGAATAGTGAGGGAAAACAATTACTGTCCAGCCAGTAAAGAATGGACAGTGAGGCCCTGGCCGGTGTGGCTCAGTTGTTTGGGCTTTGTCCAGTGCACTCAACGGTTGTCATTTCGATCTTTGGTGGCAGGAGGTGGGGATGGAGGCATTGGGTTGGGAACGTGTGAGAGGCAGTCAGTGGATGTTCCTCTCTCTTTCCCCCCTCTCCCTTCCTTTCTCTCTAAATATGAATACAAAATCTTAAGGGGGAGAAAAAAAGAATACACTTTATTTATTTATTTATTTATTTTAGAATACACAATATTTAAAATAAACTTTCTGAATACCAAATCATTGGACTGGTTAATCTTATTCAAGAAGATGTCGAAGGGTCCTAGTTAGTTTAGTTCAGTGGATAGAGCATCGGCCGGTGGACTGAAGAGTCCTGGGTTCGATTCCAATCAAGGACACATGCTGGGGCTGTGGGTTCCATCTCCAGTAGGGAGCGTGCATGAGGCAGCAGATCAATGATTCTCTCTCATCATGGATGTTTCTATCTCTCTCTCCCTCTCCTTTCTTCTCTGAAGTCAATAAAAATAAAAAATAAAGAAGAGGATGAAGGAAACTTCTATCCTACCCTGAGGAATCCAGTATTTGGGCATAAATGAAATTTCAACTGCTTCATAACCCCAAAGACTTAAGTAAAACAAACTTAAACTCTAAGACATTGAGTACAAAATTTTAAAGGTGTTCCCTATGATACCTCCAGAAACACCCAAACAAACTTAAAAGCCTTTCAAGTAGTATAAAAACTTTTAGGATAAAAACAATTGTTGCTACATATTAAATGAGAACAATTATTTTTTTTTTTTTAAATTTAGATATTTTGAGCAATTCCTGCTAACTATTAGCAATCTAGTCTAAAAGATGTTAGAGTAATATTCAAACTTTTAAGTTATATATTCATACAGTAGTCCCTCCTTATCAAGTTTCACTGTTTGAGGTTTTAGTTACTCGCAGTCTGAAATATTAAATGGAAAATTTCACAAATAAACAATTCAAAAGTTTTAAATTGTATGCAGTTCGGAGTTGCGTGATAAAATCTCATACTGTCCCACCCCAGTCCTGCCTGGGGTATGAGTCATTATCCCTCTATCCAGTGTATATGCTATACATTCGGTGTAATAATACTTTGAGAGACCACATGCATATAATTTTTATTACAGTATACTGATATAATTGTTCTTTTTTATTAGTAGTTATTGTTGTAGAGTTTAGTTCCTGTGCCTAATTTATAAATTAAACTTTATCATAGGTATGTACGCATAGGAAAAAAACAGCATATATACAGTATCGGGCATCCATTGGGGGGTCTTGGAAAGTATCCCCAGCTAAAAGGGGGGTACGACTATACAAAGAAAGTGCTATCAATATGGTCCTCTAAAATGGTGAGTGAGAAGCACACCAGGGTATCTATAAAACTACAGACTCCCAGAGCCCACCTATCCCTTCAGCCAGGTTTGGGGACCACTACAGTAACAAGTTACTTAGTGTCTGATAATAGCACACATGGCACTAAAGTTACCTCACATGGCACTAAAGTTACCTCACATAAGACAACAGACCAGTGAAAAGAACTCTGTTTCAAAAAAGAGAAATCCAGATCTCACTGAAGGCTCTCCACCAACAAGAAAAACCTACCTAAGGAGGCCACAATCACTATGGGATTGTCTCTCTCTCATACTAAAAAATGAGGGGGCTTAACTAGGCAACAGTCCAAATCTGTAATTCTACATTTCTACTGCCAAAAACCTGGAGAAACAATGTGGTAAAAAGAAAAATCAGGTCGGCGGAGCTTGAAGATGGCGACCGAACAGTCGGACCTATTCTGACTCTGGTCCCAGAACGGATAAAGGGGGCTTCTGAGTCGCTCAGGGAGAGTTGATTGGCAGCTAAGGGACAGCGGAGCTCTCAAGGAGGGTAAGGGAGAGTCCGCTGGACAGGATTTCCTGACCAAGTGGCCAGGACGGCCGCGGCAGCAGCAGCAGCGGCGGGGGCAGCGGAGGCAGCGTGCGGTGGGCTGCGGGCGTGGAGGAAGGGCTGCATTGTCTTGCCAGGAAGGAAAGAGCTTCTCTGAGGCTTGGAAAACGCACAGCCCGGAGGTCCATCGAGCAGCTGAGACTCCCAGAGCTGCACAGACACGTGGATTCCGGGGAGATCTTCAGTCACCCACGGAAAGGTCAGAGTTTGCGGGGATAGCCTAAGGGATCTGGGTTCCGCGGCGGCGAGCTCCGGCCCCGCCTCCACTACGGCAGCCTGGGAGCTCCGGCCCGCCTCTGCTACGGTAGCCGGGGAGCTCCAGCCCTGCCTCCACTGTAGACGGGTGCGCGAACTACAGCCCGCGGAGGCGGAGCGGAGCCCAGAGAAGGCTACAGCGACACCTAGTGCTGGGTTTGAAGTAATCCCCCCCAGAAGAGGGGCTTTTTTTAAAACGCCAGGGGACAAGGGACAGTGTGTTAAGAATAGTGGCTGTCCCGCCAAGGGCGGAACATCTGGACACCTTGGCACCGGTTCCCATTCATCCCCTTGCTTCTGAATACTAGAGAAGAACTGCCCAGTTGGGCATAGCCGGGGAAATTGTAGGGGGAATTTGCCTTCTGGAAACAAGGGATTGGAGCCAGAAGACATAGTCCTGGAGCCAGCTAGAGCCATAGAGAAAGAAGGCCAGAGCAACCAAAAAGACTGGGAGGTCAAACCGGAAACACTGACACCTAAGAGTCGAATTACAAACTGCCTTTTTTTTTTTTTCTTTTTCTTTTTTTTCTTTTCTTTTCTTTTTTTTTTTTTTTTCTCTTTTCTCTTTTTATTAATCAAAAATAAACGGACACAAATAACTAAGATATAACCTGCTTAAAATTAAGGTTTACCTTACAAAACTCAGGTGCAGTGGAATGCTGGGGACTGCAAGACTGTCTGGTCTGAGAATCAGGAGTGCCAAATACATTATCAGAGGAAGTGAATGACCACTACTGGACATTTTTATGCTAATTTTACTATTCTTTATTTTATTTTCATTTTTTACATCTTTTATTTAATTTTCACTTTTTATAGCATTTACTTAAGAAAAATTTTTTCTATTTTTTTCCTTACTTCATTTTACCTTTTCAATTATTACATTTTTCAATCTTTATCATCACTATTACTACTGCTATTTTGCAATTTTTGTTTCTTTCCTTTTTTTTTTTTTTTTTTTTGTTCTTTGTTTTTTCTTGTTTGTTTGTTTGTTTGTTTGTCTGTTTGTTTCCTCTCCAGTACCATTTTATTTTATTTTTTTTCTGTATTTTACATTGGGAATAACCTCCATTCTATTTTAATCACTACTTTAGCATCATTCAACCCTATCTCAACTTGACCTTTACACCATCACTCTCTTACTAAACTTTACCCTTTTAGTCAACGGTTTATCCTATCCCTTTCCGGCCCTAGATTTTCCTATATTCTTTCTGTATACCCCTTGCTAAAGCTCTCACTATACGTATAGACCTAAGTTCCAACCCCTGATCCAAGTGTATAAATACCAATTTCTGTACTATATTAACTAGTTAAAAAAAAACAAAAACTGTTCTCCCCTCTATCCTTTGCGCATTGTTTGTGTGAGGGTTGATTATTGTGAATTTTTATGCTTTTTAGTGAAATGGTTATGCTTATTCCTGTGTTGTTATTGTTGCATTGTATTTTTTTTTAAAAATCCTCTGTTTTTGTTTGTTTCTATTACTTCTGTATATCATAGACTTACTTAATAATAGTGGATATTGTAGTTTGTATTAATCTCCAAGTATTGTTACTGGCATTGGCTGGGTTCAGTAGTTGTTCTATGGCAATTTTCTCCACATATATATAGTTTGTTTCCCATTTCTCTTTTAGTTTGCTTCTTCTCTCCCTTTCTTTCTCTCTCTCTCTCTCTCTCTCTCTCTCTCTCTCTCTCTCTCTCTCTCTCTCCTTTCTTTTTTTCCCTGTTTTCCAACTTTATTTTGTCATTACTTTTTTTCTTCTCTTTATATCTCTTTATCCTTCTTTTTTTATTTTATTTTCTTAATTTTTTTTTACATTTTAATTTTATAAAAAATTTTCTTTATTTTATTTTTACCTTTCTTCCTTCTCCCCTAACCCCTAAGTTGCCTTTCTCTAGTGGTCACCTTTATTTGAGGTTATTAATATTGTAAATACATTCCTGTTAAGTGCCTCTTGTGTTGTACCTGGTAGTGTTGTATATTGTACCTTTAAATCAACGCAGCAGAAGGAACACCACATAACCAGACACCCTGAAAAGAGAGGCTATGGGGAGACAAAAACATAGTCTGCACATAAAAGAAAAGCAGGCATCACCAGAAAAGGAAGTAGAGTCAGAGGCAACCAGCCTAACAGAGCAAGAATTCAGAATAATGATCATAGGATGGCTAAAAAGAATGGAAGAGAAATTTGACAATAACCAAGAAGAAATGAGGAAGAACCACGAGGAATTGAAGAAGAACCAAGAGGAAATGAAAAATGACATCGCTACCATGAAGAACTCAATAGAAAGCATCAAGAGTAGACTAGATGAAGCAGAGGACCGCATCAGTGAGCTAGAAGATAAGATGGAAAAATATACCCAAGTAGAGCAACTTCTAGAAAAAAAGATTAAAAAGCAGGAGGAGA